TGAGGTAAAGCGAACTTCGTGACGCTGCAGAAAAAGGATCCTTGACTGGTTAATTGGTTTAGGAGTTTGCTTTCGTGTCCAGAACGGAAATCTTTGAGAACTTCCTTAGTAGAGTTATAAGCGTCATATTGGATATTAGTATGGTTACTGGTTGCTCTCCACAGGTCGTTAGTTGATTCATTAGGAGAAGATTTTAAAGCTTTTCGGAGGACTGTTTGACACTGGATAAATTTTACAGATGGAGGATAAATACTCAGGCCAAATTTGTTATTTGTTAGAAAGACAGTACTTAGTGTTCCTGATATTGGTACTTCAAGCCATCTGCGGATATATTTGTTGGCAATAGAGTCGATATTTTCAGTAACCCATGTTTTAGAGAGTGTTGCGACGGTGAAGTAATAATAATAATAATAATTATAATAATAATAATAATAATAATAATAATAATAATTATAATGGAAACTTTATTACTTTCAATAATATATATACACACTACAATGATAAACCTCTCTTTACAGGTAGTTTACCAGTGTCTACTTGAATTAACACTCTACATAATAACAATATTAGTATGATATTAGTTGTGGGTTATCCCATTCTTTGTTACGCTTACAGAATATATAATACGAGGACCTGATACATATATTAATAATTTTCCGAACATAGTACTTTCTACATTGTTCATCAAACTTTAGATCTTTCAGCATTTCGGTGAAATCTAGCGACGGGTGGCTGAAAACTCCTAATGAGCTAATCGATAAATTTACAAATTTCACTTTTTCATAATTTTTGAGCTGTTCGTTAATTAGATCTTGATATTTTTGTCTTTTTCGAGTTGCATTAGTGAGATTAGATTCAAATCCGACGGTAAGTTCAAGTATATAAATACATTTGTTTTCAAGTGTTATCAAAAGATCAGGGCGCAATTCATCTCCGGTGATAACAGATGGACTGATATAGCCAGGAAGGTCAGCATAAAGGTTACAATGGTTCACAGATTTAAGTATGGATGCTATGAAGTTAAGCACCGAATCATGACGCCACGTGAAACGTCCTACATTTAGGTAGGTCTTGCATCCAGCGACGACGTGAAGAAGTGATTCTGGATTCAAACAAAACGAACATTCGGATGTTGGTGATATTCCCCATTTCAGAAGGTTTTTGCAAGTCGGAAGAGTGTTATTTATATACCGGATAGTGAAGTTAAATATATTCTTGGGAAGTTTACTCTGAACGGAGGACCATATAGAGTTGAATGAGAGTGTAGAATGTTTAATGATATTGGAGAAAAATGAGCCTTGTGAAATGAGGTAATAATAATAATAATAATAATAATAATAATAGTAACTCCTAGTTATTAATCTGTACCATAGTTATCTCGAAAAGGTCTTTTATTTAAAAAAAATCCATACAATTTGCTTGCGGTTTACGTTTTGTATTCTTGTCAATAGCACCGGTGATACAGTGGTGTCAAGTAACGAAGTAAATGTACTTCGTTAGTGTGTACTCGAGTATTATTTTTGAGAAGTCAGCATGTAACAAAGTAAACTTTTTCTGGAGTACTTTTACTGGGAACGAAGTCGTTTTAAGAAGAAACGTTTTACTTCGCTATTTTCATTTTGTGGCGAAGTATTTCCTTACTTCCTAAGTTTTAATTTTACGTGATTTCTTCCTGATTTATTTTAATTTTGGGATAGGTGATAGGATCTTTACATGCGTCTGGGATATCTCGTTTGTGGCTTAATTGTACGAAGCATTATTTATTTACATAAATTATTATATATTAACCTTAAGTACGATTTGAAGAAGTTAAGGGCTACACCTTGAATTCCATAAAGTTCAGGTTTAGCAAGAAGGATTTTGTGGTCGGCTGTTTCGAATGCCTTTTTGAGATCAAGTAACAAAACACCGTTTATTAAGCCTCCATCCATATTCATTAAATATTCATTGGTCGATTGCAAGAGAGCAGTTTCAGTAGAGTGTTATTTAGGAAGCCAGATTGGCGTTTTGTGATTATTTTGTTGTCATTCCGAAAATTGGGATGTTGGTCATAAACTAGTGTCACTAATATTTTTTAAATTTCCGGAATGACGGGTATACTGTAGGTCTGTAATTTCCTTTCCTTGGCTTGCTAATGCATTTTAGTTTTTCAGCTCTTCTTCGTTGTGTTTCCTGCTAAATTTTTTATTTCAAAACTAAGTTTGTCTACTTTTGCCTCAAGTGGAAAAAAGCGAGAAAATTCAAGAACTAGGAGCGTTTATTGCGTCACAATGCACCCGAATTAGCCAATCAAATTGTCTGATATACCTCACTTATATTAGAAACGAATATAATAGATTCAAACTTACTTCCCGCCCATGTTTGGGTACAATAGCCACCAAAGATCAAATTCGTAGTACCGTTCCAAACTTTAATAATCACTAAACTCGGTATTTTCCTGTCGCATTTGTTGCGAAATGTCGAGGCTCCCCAACCATGTTCGGTGCCCCGCCAACATATTCTCCATTTTCCTCTTTCTGGCAACCATTCACCCAGCTTATCTTTAAACTGGACGGGTTCATTTGCCAATATCTTCGATTCCTTGAATTGATCTAAATATATGAATTTTTAAGCGTATATTACGTGTGCAGTATACTATACGCATATGTAGGGTATGTACAATGTTAGGCAATCGAAATACAGTGTGCTATTGGAAAATTACTATTGAATACATAGGTCTATTTTTTATATTAATAAATGTTTAAAATTTTAATAACACCTTTAGCCCGTTGCGAAGATACTGGTCCTACCGAATCTGCTTGATCAATTGCACCCGTCAAATGAGGAGGCAGTTGTTTTTGGGCATAAGGAGATCAGAGAGAGTATCCCATTTCTTTTCACATTTTTTATTACATTAGAATATTAAAAATCTTAATAATCTGGAACAAACAGGAGCGCTAAGTTATTTTCAGATAAGAACTAGCCACTTGCCTTACACTGATGCCTGTTATGCATGACGTTAACTAGGAGTCGTCACCTTTGCATTCGAACAGCATTTTTTCCAAATTAACTTTCACTGACAGTTCCTGGTACTGGATCGAAAGGTAATTAGGATTCGATAAGTTTACAAATGCATTTTTTAGCTTTGTGAAATTGACAACTTTTGTCGTAAAATATTTGATGTCAAGTAAGTAAAAAAATACACATGCATGTAATTTCGTTTGATTTTCAAATTAGACAATCAGGCAAAAGATAAAACGTCATCGTTGCATTACAAATTTGTTTATATATCGACAGCACGAGACATCTGAACGTTAATTTCTGGAAATGATCACGCTGCCCTGTTTAACTGCTTTCAATACAAATTTGGATGAAAACGAGAGTTACCTAAAACACTTAAAATGTTAGAGAACTGTAGGGAGTCACTTATGGGGGAGGGGGATTTAGAATTATTTCTGCATTAGACAAATGTTTACTTGGAAATTTCGGAGCTGTCTCCTGTCCTTTGTCAAGCAAGCCTAAATTGTGCAAAATGTTTGTCCTTACACAGTGTCTGTAGTGACATATTACTTTTTCTGCCCATTTAGGCGCTTCTTTTTGTATAACTGTAAAGCGGTTAACTAAAATAATAACGACTTCACTATACCAAGTTGTTGAAGCAACAGTGGCTTGCTTATATTGTTTTGGTAGGTTCCGTGCGAATACCCGTTCATTTTTACTGAGATTTTTAAAGTGAATCTGTCTACTTATTTATTTATTTATTTATTCTGTCAGTCAGAGAATGACTGTTACTGTGGCAGTTAAATACTGTAGAAAAACGAATTAGAAAATACATTTATATTGTTTTAATAATAGTTTAACAACAATAATAGTTTAACTTCGGTAACTTGCGTCTTCAAGACCCTTGCCCACTGGAAAACATCTTGTCCGACAATAACAGGTTTGTCGGCAAATGATTTACGTAGTCCGCAAAAATTTGTGTGTGGCGCTGATTAAAAAGTAATAGACATAGCCCATATTTTGTTATTAAACATACAAAATAGAAATACCGCGCACGCTCACATTTATTCAGGAAACTTCATGTAAGTTATTTGTAAATACCTAAGGAGGCTCTGCGGAGGAGAGAGATAGTCATAGCCCATATTTTGTTATTAAACATACAAAATAGAAATGCAGTCGTATGAACCAACGGTCTCCACACATCTCATGTTTACATGACACGTGTATATGCCCTGAGATCACTCGTAAATTTCTAAACTATTCAAAAGTATTTGACATATCGCAGTATGTTGAAGTTACAACGGGAAGGACACACGTTTGGTCTTCTAAGAACACAAGCATGCAAAACAAACACATTTCAAAGTTCATATCTTGTTAGAATTGTTAAACTGTGGAACTATGTTTGCAAATCTGCTCCTTCATATTCATGTCACTGTCTTCTCTTTCAAATCGTACTTGCGCAAGACTTACATCCACTGCACTAGTACTTCCTACACTCCTGAATTACCTAGCTCACACTCACTTATCACGACTCAGTAAAACAATATCCTCAATTTTTCATTCTCTCTGCCTTTGATTCTCTGCCTTTTTAATTTTCTTGTATTTTTATTTAATCTGCTTGTCTTTGTTTCTTGATTTTGTTTCTTGTCTAATGGTAAGCAATTTGCATGGGACCAAGTCTCGTTTGTGTTTCGCCACTTTTGGGATTTTCTTCACCTTCTTGTACAATGTAACTGTCAGTTATGTAAGTATTGTTTAGTTTTTTATGTTAGGTAAGTATTGTTTAGTTATTTAAAGTAAAGTTGCTAAATTAAGTGTTCATTTTTACTGGTACAGTAGTTGCACAGTACACTTTGGCTAATGAATTATTCTTTAAAATTTAATTATTTTTATTAATATAATTCATTTAGTTGCTGAAAGATCTGAAGTTTTGTGGAGCAATGTAGACATAGACCTGTTCGGAAAATTATTAATGTCGTCGTATTATACATCCAGTATATATCCAACAACTAATATTATAGTGAGACACTCTTATTGTATAAAGAATAATTCATGTTGGCGCTGGTGAACTACCTGTGAAAGCAATTATAGTAATATAGGTATAGTTTCCTAACCTGGTCTTTTCAGACAGCACCAAGCGGCGCACTAGGTAGTGCATGAGCAGGCCAGTCACATTGGCATAAACTGATGGCGCGCAGTGTGGGGGAATGGTGCGCAATGAGGTCACACATAACAAAACTTGGCAAGTTTGGGCAATTTGAGGCGACATAATTTATTCGTTATAAATATAATTATACTAGTATACTTCAACTGTGGTTGAAGGTAATGGCGTTGGTTTGTCACTAGGTAACTCGACTACATAAGCCGAATTAACAACATTTATATTCAAAGCGAATGATCGCTGGTTATTAGAATAATATATGATACCTGGCAAATCGTTTTCCGATAAGTTTGGGAAGCAGCTTACGTTGTATTCCTAGAGAAAAAATGTTCTTAATTTAATTTAATTTAATTTAAGTTATATTTTTTCAAAAGTAAATCACAGCATACTTGTACGACAGTGGTGATGAATTTCGCACAAGCAACAAATTAATAGGTAAAATATGCGGAGACTTTGCCAAATTTAGAAGCTCAAAATCGATTATAAGGAGAAAAGTTTACAGGATATTTCAAGCGCTTAAATCATGCACATTTGACGACAGGATACGATTACCAAGTTGACGCGCTCCCAATCGTTAAATTCAGGAAAGACTACTGCCTGTTACTATCTTTAACACAACTATCTTACAGCAACCAAACCTCTCGATCTGCCAAAACATGCACTATGATGAATATACTTTCTTATTTGACTTTGCATGGACAAGCCATAGCATATACAGTTTGTCCATAACGTTGGACAAACCATTGCATGCTTCTTTGAAAGTCGCCCATGACCATAGCCGTTCATATACAATAGGGCAGATTCTATTAAAGCGTCGTGGAGAGTGAACATCAATATTGGACATCGAAATCCTTTTGCTTGGCTATATCTTAGTCCTAAAATTTCGTCTTTATAAGTAAAAATTATTCTTGCCAAGTTCAGGTTTTGCCTGATGCTTTAAAGACGTTTTGTTAGCATTTTGACCATGTTTGAGAGGCGATTTTGTTTTGCCATAACTCTCTATTCAGAGTGTGATTTGTGCAGAAATCGCACTAATAAGAGCCGACGAGGTTGCAAGAAACACCACTGATTTCAAAATGGATATAATAAAAGAATTCATTCGTCAATTCTTATACCTTTTGCGGGGTCTCCAGATAAACATGATCATACGAGGAGATTTTTTCCAGTAAATTCCCAGATGTATTATCGGCCATGTTATGTAACATTTCACAATTCGGTTCATTCTGGAAGCTCGTCATCGTTTTGTAGTTGATTGATCTACAACATGACTCAAAGCTACATTCCATTACGCATTCTATCTGTTGGTGAACGACCTTCTCCATCAGAACAGTTGTATTTAATCTGAAACCTAGACATTATGGCCAAAATGAGTAATAAGATTACTAAATTATCGGGCACATTTCTAGAACGATTTCTATTATTGAGAACGTAAAGGAATCTCTTGACATTTCATTTAGGTTTCGTTTTCTAAGGGCCAATCATGGTTCATAATGCGCAAAAAGTCGAAAAACGGTTGAATCTATCAAGGTTTGAAAACGTTCGAATGAGACTCAAACGTGTCCGCTGAAGAAAGCTGGGACCGGTTGGGTGTCGTCGGTGGTAGCAAGAACATTTTAGCACTAGGGATGAGTACAAAGTAGAGGCTGTTTCGCAGGCATAGCTTTCCGTTGGAGTGTGCTTCGTTGAAACAAGTGTTCACTGAAAACTTCCAAACAGTCGCCCAGCCAGGTTGAAGGGGCAACTGCCGAAACCGCGGAAACCACTTTCTCCAAAAGTCTAAATCCGTAGAGAAATTGGCAGGGGAGATACACGTTACATTATCGAAGTTTAAACTGAGGATGATTTAAACTGGAGGACCTTGATGTGTAAAATCTCGTAAAGTATTTGTATATATGGTTTCAAGAACAATGGATTAAGTTAAAATTTTCAACTGTTAAATGGCATAGAACCAAGGATTACCTCAATGCGACATTTCGAACCAAATCCCACTGGGATTTCTTGCCCCCAGCATCACGCACAGAGGGGAAATAAGGTGACACGGGCCCGTCCTCCAATTTTCGAAGGTGACTTTTACATGTAATTAGTTTAGTTCCGAGGAGAAATACTGTAGCTGCTAAGAAATCATGCCTTTCATGACTTTAAACCTTCTGAATTCTGCAAAATTTTACCCCAAAATGTTTGAAATCGCAATTCAGGGGCTCTAGATTTCAACCTTTTTCCTGGAGAGCATGCCACTTGACCCACCCCCCCTCTAGCCACTCACACACCTTCGACGTTCGATTCCCCTTCACCAAACGTAAAGCTCTTCCTACGCCACTGTTCCGAAGAGCGCAAGTCTACATTACATTACCTGGAAAACAGCGAGCCAATTACTGCGGGTCCGAATTAGGACATTCTAAATAAAACTGTAACTAATAGCAGCACTTAGGAGGCTGAACCAGAGTTCGAGCGATATTACACGTGGTACATATAGTTTTGATTGTTCCTGGATTTTCAGGATCGTAAGAAATTTCTAAAGCACGGAAGTAATAACTATAGAATGATAGATTTAATAAATGAGTTCAAATTTATATGGTGTCCATTTGCCCGAATTTTATATATTAAATTTGGAATAAGTCGACGTTATATCAGATATATGTTTCTGAAAACGAGCTTTTCAATAAATTGTAAGTGCCAATTTAGTTTGCTTTTTGTTGGCTTGGATTTATTGATGGATCATGTTCAACCCATTATAGCGATTCTAAATAGCGTCAAATTGGTGGAATTGCGATCGAATTTAGCAAGACTCGGTTTGATATTTTCCCGTACTGCCCTCACTTCAGTCAGCAAGTTATTAGTATTTAATATTACGAGCGCAATATACCAGTGTCACCTACCTTTGAGCTTCGAATTGTAGAAAAAATTAACAATCTTTTCAGCTTGTACATATCTCAGAAATATGCACGAAATGAACAAAATGTTCAACAAAAGTTTCAGGAAAGACATTGCATGTAGTTGGTCCAATCACCAAGGTCTATATAAGTTACATTGACTATAATTAGTATATTTCTTTCCACATGCGCGAGCTATCTGATCAGCAAAATCTCACATATTTAAGACTTAATTAAAGGGGCAATATGACCGATTTTTGAGCAATTCTAACCTTCGCTTGTAGATGAATATTTTTCATCTACAAGTACAACTTTAGAAAGTGGACATATTTCCGGATGCATGGGCCAGCATCATTCGAATATTTACCATCAAAGAACAAAATATGACTGGTTTATAGTTTATTTTGTCTAAAATGATACATTCCCATGCAAATTATATCCTCTGAGAAAATCCACAAACTAATCCCTCTGAAATTTGAAATCCTTGACGTGGCTAGAAAAACAAATGCCATACCATCACAATATTTAATACAATAATTAAAATTTAGCGGATCCTTTTATTTATATATGTTACTGTATATTCTGTATATTTAGATTTTCTGCAATGGCATTTTAGCGAGTGCCGGTGGCGCGGTTGTCTAGGGCGTTAGGTGCATTCTTACATGCTGCTAACCGGCGGTTCGAATCCCGCAATGGCCAATGTTTTGTTTTTCGTTCTCATATTTTTTTCTTTAAGATTTTTCTTAAGATTGCCTTTACAACACCGGAGAGTTACTATTGTTTGACTGTAAATTACTATTATTAAATTGCCCCCTTCTTTCAAAATTCGATAAATTATTTTTTTAATAGTCGAGGCCATTTTGTAGTTCGCGCCATTTTCCATAATTGTGTTAATTATGCTAAATGTTGAGCCGCTGGCATGATCTGATTTGATCGCGGACGGGGGTCACATAACGCCCGGGATAAATTGACTACCCAATTAGCCTTTTCCCAAAAGAGATTACTGTGCATTCTGGGATCATTTGGAGGGACAAAATATATGGTAACAAGCGTCAAATATGTGAAAGAGTATAGAAGTATATACTATCAAATATCAACTTCTTAGACGACCAAAATCAAATATCTACTTTTACATTAAACATTTAAATCAAATGTGTGCTGCATATTTCTTGTTCCTCCAGCATGGAATTCCGCGACTAGACCCAGGAATTTGAGAAATGGCTAATTATACATTCACGTGCCATTGATCAATCCCGAGTGTTCATTAGGACATTTGAGCGCCATCATGAAAACTACTGGGCAACCAGTAATGGTATTTTTACCCTCGGTAATTATAGTATTTTGACTTGGACATTGACTTTGACTTTGACTAGAACACATGCATACCCGATATTTTACAATGTACCTTAATACATGAGGATATATTTGACTTTTGCCTTGTTAACCGTATTTATTCAGATGTTCTGTGAATTTCACATACTACAAACAGCATGACAAAGAAATGAAATGGATTTTAAACTTTATGCTAATAGTTTTTTTTTAATTTTTCAAAGCACGACTTTGCGGGGCATACTTGAAGATAGACAGGTTGCGAACTGGGAGTTCTCGTTGATACCTGCAAACCGAAAGCAGTTGGAACCGCAAAGGCTGCTTTAGAGCGGAAAGATGATCGACAATATCTTATATTGAGCACTGTGAACAACACAAC